CCATTAGGGATGCTGGGGTGGAAGTGTCCAATCAGGTTCCAAAACAGAGGGGAAGGGCGGGCTTCCGCACTGTCGCTGGCTTTTTATCCCCTGTAGCAACTTTGCTCCTCCCTTTCTGGGCCCCACGTGCTCTGCCAAGAGGCCTAGGTGATTCTGAGCAGCCTGTGCCTCCCTCTATCTCTGGTGCCTTGAGGTCCTCTAGCGAACACCGGGTCCTCTAGAAAGACAAAAATGGTGAGTATGTGATGAGGGCTGAAGGTACACGGTCAGCACCTGCCTTGGGGCCCCCTCAAAGTGGTGAGCTGCAGAGCCTGGCGGAGTCACCTCTGGAGGTTGCCCTGGGTCTCTGTCCCCTGGTCCTGGGGGTTGGGCTGGATAGTAGAATCTTGAAGTCACCTTGCTGGCGGCTGACCCTAAGCCTCTGCCACTGGTCCCGCGGGGTGAGCTGGGTGCCCAAGGTTGGTGCAGATGGTGCAGCCTAGTCCTCCATGGCGGATGGCCCTGGGCTTCTGCTCTGTGTCCCCTAGTATTGGGCTGGGTATCCAGTCCCTGAGGTCAGCTGCGGAGCATGAGGCCCAGTTCCCACTGGCAGGTGGCCCTGGGCCCTGTCCCTTGGCTTCCATTGTTGAATGGGCAGCTCAGGTCTCCAGCTTCCCCTTCCCCCCTGCTGGTGGCCCACACCCACTCTTCCAAATGTGTAGGAAGCAGGATCGCAAATCCACTTTCCTTCCCCCAGTTTAGTTCCTCCCACAGCTGCTGTAGGTCTTTCAAATTGCAGTTGCCTCCTGAGTTCTAAAATGCCCCATCTTTTCCACTTCCTGTCATAAATATCTGGTCTTCCTCTAAGTTTCAAATGGACACAGTCTATTAATTTTCACTTTTTCTCTACTGATATATTGAAAAGAATATTTTATTTTTGTATTGCAGTTCAAAACTAGAGAAGCTTTATCAGTGTAATCATCAGGCATACCCACCCCCAATTAAAAAAAAATGAGATCCTATCCCAGTTGTTTGGGACACTGTCTTCCAACTTGTGATCCTCTTGCCCCAGCCTCCTGAGTCCCTGGGATTACAGGCCTGTGCCACTATCCCTGGCAAAATTAACACTTTTGTTCTGTTTCTTAATATCATACTTGAGGGAAAAGAATAGTCATGTGACACACTCTGTGTTCAGGTAAAATAGCTGCTTTAAATGAAATAAGGCAGTTGGTTATTGGTACTAGGGATATTGAATCTTGGTTTACATCCCCAGCCCTTTTTTGTTTGTTTGTTTTTTCACAGAAGTTATTTATTCATTTTACTTGGTTTTCATTACTTATACATGACAGTGAAATGCATTATGACACATCATATGTAAATAGAGTGTAACTTCTTCTTTTTCTGGTTGTACCTAATGTCCATTCACACTGGTCATGTAGTCACATATGCAAATAGGATAAAATGTCTGATTTATTCTATTGCCCTTCATCTCCAGCCCTTTTAAATTTTGTTTTCAGAGTGGATCTGGCTATGTTATCCAGCCTCGCCTGGAACTTCTGATCCTCCTGCCTCAGCTTCTCAAGCTGTTGGAATTAAAGGCACTGGCCACCATACCTGAGGAAAATAGTTTACTTTGACCCAAATATTAATGACCATCCTCAGTAATATGGATTCAACTTATCCTGAATGATGTGTGTGTTTCAACCTGGAAGAGATTACATTTTTTTTAAATACCTGGCATTGACCCCAGGGGTAATTATGCAATAAGCCAGATCTGCAGCTCTTTTTACATTTTATTTTGAGACATGATCTCACTAAGTTCCTTAGGGCCTCACTAAGTTGCTGAGGCTGGCTTTGAATTTAGCAGTCCTCCTGACCCAGTCTGTTAAGCTGCTGGGATTACAGTTGTGCCCCACTGTGCATGGCTGACAAGAATGTTTGTAAAAGAAAGTTATGTATGAATACATTAACCAAGTGCATTGGTAGGATCATCAGATGGGTGGCTACAGTAAAAAAAAAAAAGGTGAAATTTCTTCTATAGGTCTGTTATTACATTGTTAGCTTTGGAAGATGGCGGTTATATGTCAGGTAAGGTTGGTAATATATTCTGAGAAGTGCATTTGTTTGGAGAATTATGGACTACTATAGAAATTAAGGTAATTGACTATTAAAGGGCTTAAGATATCCCATAAGAATTTTTGCCATCCATCCAGAACCCCATTTTACTATCCTTATGGTCGTCTCCTTCCCCAAAGTCAAGTGGTCTGAAGGTTCATTGACATAGAGCAAGTTCATAGAGAACTTCAGTTCACACCTGGGAAAATCCTGTGCTTCTCTTTTTATCTTTCTTAGGTATAGACAGCATATCAGATTTCTCTGGCGGGTTTTCTTTGCATACCTCACAGAGTCTTATGTCCCCAGCCACTATCTTTCCTTGGTTGCCACCATGTGCCCACAGCTCTCCTGTGCCCTGCATGGTACAAGGAATTTTATGCCCTGGGTCAGCTCCTCTTAGAGGACAGCCTAAGTTTTGAAGTACAGCCTCTTGGGGGCTCAGCTGAGGTCTTGGGTCTAAGGAATGTCCTGGAACATGCCTCATCTAGACAGCTAACTTCTTGGGATCTTGTTCTCCCCAAGCCCTGTTCCCATTCCTTGGATACAGTTGGACAGTCAGCCTGTGGATGCTGGTGCTGAGGGGCCAGGTCACCAGTGATTCCTGACCTTGCATTCTTTCACACTGTGAAAGAGCAAAAACTCTCCCCAATGCATAAGGACCAGCCACCCCAGTGCAGTGCTGTGAAAATCTGAAAAGCTCATAGGCTGGAGTCATGGTCTAGGTCTCATGGGACAGTGATTATGGAGTGTTTCAGTGAGCATGCCCAGGTGTGAGGATGTCCCAGCTGGCAGGGGGACTTTCCCTGCCTCTTGAGCCTGATATGTTTGCTCCCTCAGCACCAGCCATTTGTGGTTATCACTGTGAAATGATCTGCTCACTTATCTGAGGCCCAAGTTGATTTATTCAGAACCAAATATGATGAAATATTATAAAAGAGGGAAGAAAGAAGTGGATTCAAAAAGCCTACTTACATTTCCATTTGGTAAACATTCTAATTTATGGCAAGGTGCAGTGGTGCACAGCGGTATTCCTTGCTTCTCCAGAGGCTGAGGCAGAAGGATTTAAAGCTTGAGGACATCTTTAACAACTTAGCGAGACCCTTTGCAACTTGGAGAGACTTCGAATTCTGGGGATGTGGTTGGGTGGTCAACTGCCTCTGGATTCAATCCAAGGTATCAAATAGAAAAAAAAAAAAATGTGCCTTATCCTTGGGCCACCCCTTTGGGAGCTGGACTGTTAGCTTATGAAATTTGGGAGTTACATGACTTCTCTCTGTCTACACTCACTATGATCACTACGAATTTTGACTGATATTAAATATGGTCTTCTATTTCCATTATTAGAAGTAGGTTTTTTTTTTTAAGTTCACCAAGAAGCACAGCACACCTGGCCCTGGAATTCACAGAATTTTCTAAAATGCTCAGGGGTTTTCAGAGAGTGTAGATCATGGGAAAGTTCAGTCTCCTTTATCTCCTTGGTAAGAAATTATATCATCTTTCTATTAATTTCGTTGTATTTTATGCCTCTCATTTTGTACCTTTCCTATTGTAATCATTTTTTGTCATTCATGAGATGAAGTTTAGTAGAGTTATATTGTGTGTGTGTGTGTGTGTGTGTGTGTGAGAGTGTGCATGTGTGTGTTTGTGCCCTGCTTCAGATTGAACCCAGGGCCTTATGTATGCTTGGCAAATCTTCTACTGTTGAGCTATATCCCAGCCCAAGAAAGTGGACTATTATTGATTTATTTACTTATGTATTAATTGGTGGGATTTAAGCCAGGGACTTGCTCCTGCTTGTTTCATTCAAAAAATACTTTCAAGTTGCTGAAAGCATTTTTTGATGGTGGATGTGTGTTTCCCTCTGGATTAAACCCAGAGCCACTTGACCACTGAGCACACCGCCAGCATTTTTTATTTTTATTTTTTAATTTATTTTTAATGTTGTTATAGTTGGAGATGGACAGAATACTTTAATTGTGTTGATTTTTTTTGTGGATCTAAGTTTCAAACCAAGTGCCTCAAACATGCTAGGAATGTGCTCTGTCACTCAGTGACAGCCTCTTTTCCTGATTGTAATTTTTGATTAAGACCAAGTCTGACTATGTTTCTGATGGCTTTGCTCCATTGCTGAGGCTGGCTTTAATCTTGTCATCTTCCTGCCCTGACTTTTCTAGTTGCAAAAATTTAAAGTGGACTCCACCAAACCAGGAGTTATAATGACTTTTAAAGATAACTCACCCATTTCTCTCAAAATGGAAACAGTATTGAAAATCAGTTTCCTTGCTTTTCTTCAAAGTTTTGAAATTTGTATATGTAACTCTTCCTCTTTCCTTTACTCTTGCATTATTATGGAAAAGGTATTCGTTATGTAATATTGTTTCTTCTTTATGTATTTATGAATCTTCCATGGTGTGGTAGTTGTTTCATTTTTTATTGAATTTATTTTTCAGAGCAATTGTAGTCTTATATAGTACATTAGTTAGGGTTCTCCATTGGAACAGAATCAGCAGGAAGAATGAATACAAAAAGGGGATTTGTTAGATTGTCTTAGGTGACCAGAAGCTGGAGAGTCCTCTGTGGCAGTCTGCTGGCTGGGGAGCTGGAGAAGTAGTAGCTGTGCAGCCCAAGATGCTGAAGCCTCTGAACAAGAGGGATCAATGGTGCTATCCTAGTCTGAGATCTAATGCTTCTGGAAACTCCCTGGAGAATCACTGGCAGAATCAGCTTTGGAAGAGTAAAGAAGGAAAAGTTGATATCCTCAGGCAATCACAGCAGCAGTGGAAAACCCATCTGTGTAGAATCCAGCTTGCATCTGCAGCTGCTACCATGTTCTTGCAACTTTTATTCCATGCAAGCCACCATCCTATTTGGATGACATTACCCACACTTAGGGAGGTTTTCTAGTTTGCTATCCCACATGCCAATCACTCCTAGACACAGCCTCATGGACACACCCAGAAGCCTATTAATCATTAGTGTCTCTTAATTCCATCAAAGTGAACATTCGAGTGAACCATCACCCATAGTATCATACACCTCTTCTCTTTAGCTTGTAGTCTCCAGTGTTTTCAACATCTTGCACTTGGTATGCAATTCTTTTTATTTATTTTTAGATTCAGTTAAGTAATGTTTGTGGAGGTATTTTGCATTTATGATCATGAAAGTAATTCATAGCTTCCTCATTTTATCAAGTTAATTTTGATAATAATATAACATATGCCTCCAAAGGAATTAGAAGGTGTTTCCTATGCTTCTGCATTCTCAAAACAAATGTAGAAAATTGGTGGCAGTTCTGGAGTGTCTGGTGGCAGCCGGTATGATGTCTAACAGCCCTACATTTCACTTTTTTGATGGTAATTAGATATTGAGTCAGTTTCATCAGTAGGCACAGGCTCATGTGTTTTGTGTATTTGTCCTTCTGTGTAGTAGTAGATGGTCTCTCTAAAATTATTGGGCCACTTCCTCTAAGTTATCAGATTTGTGTCAAGTGCATGTTTATGATATTGTTGAAGAGCCCATGGATGGTAATGGTGGCTATTTTTAACTCTAATGGGTAGTGTCTGTGTCTTTGGGTTTCTTATTTGTTTAACGTTATTGTATTTCTCTATACCTTTCTTCTATTTATTTACTTTGATGTGCTGGTATGGATTCAACCCAGTGTCTCACTGGTGCTATATGTGGCACTGAGAATGAAACCCAGTACCTCACACATGCAAGGAGAGTGAGATACAGCTTAGCCCCAGCACCAGCCCCTGCTGATTTCATGATTGTGGTTTCACCAACACCCCCTCTTACCCGCATGTGCTTAATGAATACTTACCTTGCTCTTTTTTCTCTCCTTTCCTTAAGTACAAGGGTCAATGATTGCTTTTATCTCTTCTTTTCTGGAATGTGCTTTGGATGCTGTAGAGACCCCCAGTGCACCATCTGTGCAGTTTTTTCATGTTGGACATTTGTATTTCATTTTTCTCAACATGGTCACATTTGCCCTTAAGTCACCTCTTCCTCCTGTGTCTTTTTAGAGCCCTGTGTTGCATCTCCCTTTACTTAAAGGTTTTCCAGGTGCTTCTGATCTGATTTCTGCTTTAACTCCCATGTTCTTTGAGCCTACTTGGGATTTCACTGGCATTGCATATTTGTTGAGGTGAGGCTTATGGCTCAGAATGTGGCCTGTTCTGGGTGGTGGTACTGTGATCCTGAGAAGGCTGTGTGTTTCACTTTGACTAATGGCCAGGGAAGCCCTCCTGTCTGTTGCTCTGCTACATGATCACAGACCCAGCAGTGTTGTGGTGATGTCTCCCAATGTAGCAGTTTATTCTTCATTGTCCTGGGGAGTTTTGTATGGCTCTGCCTGATGTATTTTGACTTTTTTTTAGGTGCATGCATACTAACAATTCAAGAGAGTTACTTGAAAGTTTAGCCTAGGGCCCCCACATCCCTTTAATCCCAGCAGTTCAGGACTCTTAGGCAGGAGTATCACAACTTCCCAGGAAGGCTCATCAAGTTAGGCACTGAACAACTTAGAGAAATTCTCTCTCAAAATAGAAATAATTAAAAATAAAATAGGGCAGTGAATGTGGCTTAATTGTTATGAACCCTTTGGTTTAATCCTTGGTACAAAATATAAACAAACAAATGAATAAATGAATAAAAAAATTTATCCCAGGGATTCTGGAGTCTTATCTTACTCAGGCATGGTCAATCTCACGTCTGTTATTTTCCATGCATGAGTTATGTTTTGCTGTTCCTCAGTATTCTTTGTACATTTTTTTAAGTGAATGAAATATGTTTCTTGGGGCTGGGGCTGTGGCTCAGTGGTAGAGTGCTTGCCTAGCCTGCATGAGGCACTGGGTTTGATTCTCAACACCATATACAACTGAAAAAAGTTCCATCAATAACTAAAAAAAGAAAATGTGTTTCTTCCTTTTCTCCTATTCTGTGGTTTCTGTTTGTTGAAGGCTTCATGCCTTTGCCTAGAGACTAGGTGTCTGAGCTATGTTTAGCAAATTATTTTGTATTCAGCTCCTTTGAAAAATTTCCCTGAATGCTAGATCATCCAACAGAATGGAAACTTTAGGGGTTTCGAAGCTGACAGGCTGAGGATTGGCAGACTGACACCCACCAGCTGTGCTCTCTGACATTTCACCATGAGGGCTGGCAACAGCTGCAGGTACCTGTAATGCAGTAGCAGAAGCAGTCAACAAAGTAGCAGAGAAAGAACAATCCCTCTTCAGGTTGAGCATAGTAAAAGTCCCAAATGTGTATGAGTCTTTAGGCCATTGGCAAGCTTGTTCCCATATAAGAAATAAAAAATTCACTCTCCAATATATTGCCCCAATTTTCTTTCTTGATGTCCTCAAAGCTTGTTTATGTATAAAAGTAAAAGCCCTGATGTTCTCTGGGCTCACGCCTTGGGAATTATTTTTCTGGGCTGTACTGCCACTAATAAACTGTTGCTGCCAGATTTCAGTGTCCCCTGGTCTCATTTCTCCGTACACCAGAAACTAGAGAATGACAGTAGAAACAGGAAAACCTCACTTGTCTGGTTTTTGTGAGTAGTTGTGCTGGGGCCTGTGCATTAATACACAGTGGTGCTATTAAAACTCTGCTATGTCTTTGCCCTGCAGATCCCCACCTGGAGAGCAACCAGTGCTGAGCATGTGGGTCATGGTCCTCTTTAATATTTCCTCCTAGTCTGTGTGAACTTCCTTCTTTCATCAGTATATCTCGGTGGTTTTATTTGGGGGAGCATACTGTGGAGTAAATCCTTGGGTGCTTAACCACTGAACCAAATCCGCAGCACCTTCCCCCTTAACTTTTATTTTTGTTAACTTTCATTCAGGATTTTGCCAACCTGCTTAGGGCCTAACTAAGTTGCTAAGGTTGGCATTGAACTTGAGAACCTCCTGCCTTAGCTTCCTAAACCTGGGTGTTTTTAAAACCTGATTTTTAAAAGAAACTCTCTGAAGCTTTCTTGGTCAAATTTTAGGTGATGGTTCAGTGGGTAGACAATAGTTTGCTTTCTTGCTATTTGCAGGCTGTTTGTTTACTTAAATCCTTTTAAGGAATTTCTGCTGATTTTTTTATAGTGATTACTTCTGATGTAGAAGACTGAGAGTTGGTTTTAGTCATTAATATATTTCCATGGTTGAGCTGGGGTTGTGGCTCAGTGGTAGAACACTCACCTAGTACATGTGAGGCCATGCGTTCAAGCCTCAGTACCACATTTAAAAAAATAAATGAATAAATAAAGGTATTGAGTTCAATTACAATTAAAAAACAAAATATTTTTTAAAATATATATTTCCATGGTGATTTTAGTATGAATTGCCCAAAACTGAAGAAGATGTGCTGTGTGCAGTCTGGAGTCATAGAGGGTCAGGCTGAAGGTCAAACCATGGTTGCTGCACTGCACTCTTCCATATGACTGCTTCACGGAGCTGTTGGGAAACTTTCAGGGCTTTGGGGCATGATGACGTTGTTGTTCTGATGGTTTGGCTTGTGTTTCCAATTCTGTTCTATCTCATGGCTGTACTGAGATGATTCCAGGCTCTCTATTGTGTCATTTTGCTCTGAGTGTTGAATTTTTTTTCTTTCTTCTAATCATTAGGGAATTGTATAACATGTTCTTCTACAAAACTAAATTTCCACAGGTGCAATGGTGCATGATTGTATTCCTAGCAGCCTTGGAGGATGAGGCAGAAGAATTATAAATTTAAATGCTACCCTCAGCCTCTCACAAGGCCCTGAGGAACTTTTTGAGTACTGTGTCAAAATGGCATATGTGCTGGGGATGAGGCTCAGTCATTAAGTGCCATATAAATAAATAAAATAAAATTTCTTGTAAGGTCATTAAATGTGTTTTAGTGTTTTACATTTGAATGTATAGTAAATGGATTTTTGTCTACAGAATTGAGGATATAGTGCCTTTGGCCACCCAGATTCCAGTTTGCCTGGACCATCATTGTGATCTGTATCCAAGACACCTGCTGTCACTCATCTTTCCATCCTGTGAAGGCCAGCCCACGGAAGCCTTCTTCATGGTCTCTTGCTCACCTCTGCTGATACTGTGATGCTCAGGATATCACATGTGTTAAGTCCTTGAGAATGGTTGTATGTCAGTGGCAGGGGCACCTTCTTATAGGTGATATTTTTGACTATTCCATCATGGAGCAGACATTATAGTATTGTTATGATTATACATGGAGTGGCGTGTTTCACACCCAAACTGTGTTAGATAGGTGAGGATTCTGGGCTGCAACCCTGCTTTTTTACACACCCTGGAAATGCTTCTGTCTTAGGTTTGTTTGCACCACCATCATCACAGGCAGGAGAAAATTCTTTCACGACAGACACCCGTGCACATGTGGCCCACTCTTGACCAAAGTGTCCTTGAGTGGAACATGGCTATGTGGAACATGACCGTACGGTAGTGAAGTGACTGCTTTTCAGTAGGTTATTGACAATCCTTGCACATTCACTGTTGCTGTGAGATTTAGAAATTCGTGTCTGCTGTTCATTAAGAAAATTGTTTTGAGACTTATAAAACTTTGCAATGTTGTTGTTTGGACATGGTGACATCTTTGGGTCATGGAGTTATATCTAAGACATGTTCCATCTTTCCCCTTACCTCATTCTGCTTTGACAGTAACCTTGAGAAATCATCAAATTTTTGTGTTTATTAATCATTGTGCATGTTTTCTATTTTATTAATTTTGTTATGGAGAAATGCACCTGCAAATATCTAGTTGTTCTCTTTGTGTAATCCCACAAGATGAACGCAATCCCCGGTTCACAAATTGTGGCAACCCAAGTGTCAATTTGTCTATATGCTGTCTGTAGGGGAATCTTCTTTGTGATCCATGCTCAGACGTCATGGGTGGGGACTGTTCTATGCATTTCCTTAAAGAAGGAACAATAGACTTTCATAAAGAATCAAGAGATCAATGAATGCTGTGTTGTCTATATTAACAGTGTAGGCACAGTGACCCACTGTGGTTGGCAGAATCTCTCTCAATTACTGAGTTCTGTGATTGCAACAATTTCATAGTACTTACCCTTAGGAAAGAAAGCTGACTATTGGGGATGTTAATATTAGCTTTCCACAGCAGAGAAGGTTGTTAGGACATGTAATAGAGGTGTAACCAACAAAGTGAGTCATGATACTGTCTTACTTCCTGTGAACTCACCAATGGAAGGGAGCAAAACACTTAGTTGCTTGCCTTCTGAGTGGCCCAATTCTAGTGTTGAAATGTGTGTGGGGAATTGAGTGCAGGAAGGATTTGATGGACCAAATCATGGAATTAATCAGAAATTCATAGAATCCTGTGGACATCAAGAATGATGAGTACATACTTCTTCTGCTGTCAATCTCTCCTGACCTCCAGTAAATATTTGTGGGATATTTTAGATCTCAGTGACCTTTGAGGATGTGGCTGTGGACTTCACCCAGGAGGAGTGGGCATTGCTGGATCCTTCCCAGAAAAACCTTTACAGAGATGTGATGCTGGAAATCCTCAGAAACCTGGCTTTTATTGGTAATAATGATGTTTTTTTTTTTTAAATTAATCAAATAGAGAACTCATGTTTATTTTTGTCATTTATATACAACATGAACAGGGAATACATTGTTGAATTATTGCAGCATAAAAGGCACCTACAATTTGGCAAAGCATTTCTGTCTCCTAAAAATTCATACAGATTGTTCTGGTTTCTCATTTTAGAAAACAAATTGGATGAAAAGAATATTGAAGATGAGATAAAAAATTCTGAGAGCATTCTAAGGTAATTGTACCCACATGAGGTGTATTTGAGGGAATCTGAGAAGGTCATATAATTTTTAAAACAGACCAACTCAAGAAGTATGCACAATTTGAAATATATTTATTTTTATAAGATTTTTTAACTAGAAATATATACTTAACTGTAACAGATATTCAGTTTTTTCCAAGTACTTGGCATGCCAAAAGTATATGAAATTGCATATGAATATCACTATTTGGATAATCACCATAGGGAAGCTGCATTGCAAAGGATTGTTTCCTTTCAATCTCTTAATTTTGAGTCAATTTGAACACATCAGGAAACCTCGCCTTACCTGATGTTGATAGTAATGTAAGCCTAGGTCCTATAAATAAGTATAAAATCATGAATGAATCAAGCATTGATAATGTGCTGGTCATTCTTCAAAGAAGCCATGTGGTAAACTTCAACGGCCAAGAAGATAGTGTGGGGAAAGTTTCAATGAGATTCCAGTTCTTACCTGGACAAAGAAAAATTTTAATAGAGTAAATCCATGTGGTTGTCATATGTATGCCAAAGACTTCATATGCCCTTCATTACTTCATAGGCACATCACATCTCACTCTGGACACAAATGCTACAACCAGGAGGAATGTGAAGAGAAGCCACATGAATTTAAACACTATAGGCAATGCCTGGTTTCTCTAAAAAATGTTCACACACAAATGTTAATACAAACTGGAGAGGGACCTTATGAACGTACAGTACGTGGGAAAGTCTTCACTTGTTCTAGTGACATTCAAAGACATGAAGATACTCATACTGGGTTGCAACTCTATGAATATCAACAATATGGTGAAGCCTCATCTTCTTCCACACGTGTTCAAAGACACATGAGAATACACAGTGTAGGTAAACCTTTTCAATGTGATATATGTGGGAAAGCCTTTCATTTCCCTTCTTTATTTAGAAGACATGAAAGAACTCATTATGGAGAGAAACTCTATGAATGTAAACAAGATCGTGAAACCTTTATTTCACACACAAGTCTTCAAAGGCAGAGGATCACACACATGGGGAATGCACATTTAAAATGTAAGGTATGTGGGAAAGACTTTGCTTACCCCAGTTTATTTAGAATACATCAGAGAACACATACTGGAGAAAAGCCTTACGAATGTAAGCAGTGTGGCAAAGCCTTTTCTACATCCAGTTACCTTCAAATACATGGAAGAACACATACTGGAGAGAAGACCTATGAATGTAAGCAGTGTGGAAAAGCCTTCACTTATTTGTCTGGCCTTTACAAACATGAAAAAATTCATACTGGAGACAAGTCCTATGAGTGTATGCTTTGTGGCAAAGCCTTTGCTAGTTCTAGTAACCTTCAAAGACATAGAAGAACACATATTGGAGAGAAGTCCTATAAATGTAAGCAGTGTGGAAAAGTTTTTGCAAGTTCCAGTGATCTTCAGATTCATGGAAGAACACATACTGGAGAGAAACCCTATGAGTGTAAGCAGTGTGGCAAAGCCTTTACTACATCCAGTAACCTTTACTCACATGAAAAAACTCACACTGGAGAAAAGCCCTATGAATGTAAGCAGTGTGGTAAAGCCTTTGCTGCATCAACTTCCCTTCAGATTCATGGAAGAACGCATACTGGAGAGAAGCCCTATGAGTGTAAGCAGTGTGGAAAATCCTTCACTAATTCCTCTGGCCTTCACTCACATAAAACGGTTCATAGTGGAGAGAAGCCTTATCCATGTAAGCAGTGTGGCAAAGCCTTTGCTAGGTCCATTAGCCTTCAGAGACATAGAAGAATACATACTGGGGAGAAGCCCTATGAATGCAAGCAGTGTGGAAAAGCCTTCACTCAATTCTCTGGCCTTTACTCACATAAAACAATTCATACTGCAGAGAAGACTTACCCATGCAAGCAGTGTGGCAAAGCCTTCGCTTGTTCCTCTGACCTTTACTTACATAAAACAATTCATACTGGAGAGAAGCCTTATGCATGTAAGCAGTGTGACAAAGCCTTTGCTGCATACAGTAGCCTTTACAGACATAGAAGAAAACATACTGGGGAGAAGTCCTATGAATGTAAGCATTGTGGTAATTTCTTTGCTAGTTCCAGTTACCTTGCCAAACATGAAAAAACTCATACTGGAGAAAAGCCCAATGAGTGTGAGCTGTGTGGCAAAGCCTTTTCTACATCCAGATACCTTCAGATTCATAGAAGAATGCATACTGGGGAGAAGCCCTATGAGTGTAAGCGGTGTTTCAAAGCCTTTGCTAGTTCCAGTGAACTTCAAAGACATGGAAGAATACATATCGGAGAGAAGCTCTATGGTTGTAAACAATGTGAAAAAGCCTTTGTTACATCTGCTCAGCTTCACTTACATGAAGGAACCCATAGTGCAGAGAATTCGTACTCATGAAAACAATTGGCAAAGTCTTCTGTTAATAATGTTTCACTCATTAACATGTAGTAATTTTTCTGTAGAAAAATTCTTTGAATGTGAAATGTGGGAAATCAATATTTCTTGTCAAAGTGAAAAAAGTGCTCACATGTCCAAATCAATCAATCAATCTATCTATCTATCTATCTATCTATCTATAGTACTGGGGATTTAGTCTGGTGGTCATCTATCACTGAGCCACAAATTTTTTCCTTTTTATTTTGAGAGAGGGACTTGCAGAGTTCTTTAGGGCCTTGCTTATGTGCTGAGTTTGGCTTCACATTTGTGATCCTTCTGCCTCAGACCCCGAGTCTCTGGGATTAAAGGCAAACACTACTAGATCCAACTGAATAAAGCTTTATATGTGAAGATTGGAAAATCATTCCATTTTTCCTGTTGCCTTCAAAGTCATTTCACTCACACTGAAAAACAAACCCTGAGAATGTGGAAGATTTGGTACATTCTGTCAGCTTCCCATCCCAGTCCTGCTTTCCTTCTCATATATGAAAATACAGAGAGAAGCCCTGAGAATGTGATTAATGTGAGAAGTCTTCTAATTTTCCCAGTTTTTTATAAGGTCTGAGAAGACTCTTCTGAAAAGATTCATGCCAAAATGAATAAATCATTTGCAAGTAAGTGTTCAAGTGTTTCAGTTTTGTTCAGTTGTATGAAAGGACTCATACTGTAGAAAATCCTGTGGAAAAGCCATGTGGGGCAGTATGCAGCTCTCCTGGTTTCCTTCAAAGACATAAAGGGATTCACATCAGGGAAAACCCTTCTGTTCTTTAAACAATGTGATGACACTTTCACTTTTCCATGTTCTTTTGGAACATCATGGAAGAACTCACTCTGGAGAAAAGCCTTGTATATACAAATGTGGTGAGACTTCCAGTTGTTTCAGATCCATTTAGACTTATTTAGACTTGAGAGAATTTGTTATTTTAATTTCTTTTACTTTTTTTTTTTTGGTACCAGGGATTCAACCCAGAAACAATTGATCACTGAGCCACATCCTACTTCTTTTTCTTTCTTTCTTTTTTTTTTTTTCAAATATTTAGCCATGGTCTAAGAATTGCTTAGGTCATCACTATGTTGCTGAGGTTGATGTTGAACTTGTCATCCCCTGCCTCAGCCTGCTTTTCCAGTGAAATTACAGTAATGCAACCCCTTCAGCAAGAAACTTCTTTTTTTGAGAAAACCACTGTAGGCAAGTAAAAAGGGTGTGTGACTTCATTTACTTTTTGTCTATTCAGAGGTAATGAGAATGCACCCAGGAGTGGATGTAGGAATTGTGTCAGCATGAAGATGTGAAGGCAACATGTTTCTCCTGGTTAAATATCTCTTTCTGTTAGATTTAATTTTTCTCTATATATTTTTTGCACCTGTTGTCAACTCTCCCATATGATGACATAATCCTATATTTACTATGTATGTGTTGGCAAAATCTAGTGTGTAGTATGATTTTGTACAAAGAAATATGATATAGAATAGTACACAAGCTTTGTAGTTAAAATGTATTAACCTGTATTTGCAGCATTTTATTTTTTTTAGAGTTTTCATCTCTCTTCTTCCCTTGAGTTCATTTTCTCTTTTATTGTCCATTTTTATGACTTTTATATATGTTTTGACAAAATATAAATTGTGAGAGGTTTTCAATATAATTACCAGGGTCATAGAATTGAGGGCAAGAGAAAATAAACATTAATATTTTAATTATCATCATCACCATCATCATCATCATCACCACCACCACCACCACCACCACCACCATCATCATCATATCTAAAGTGCCTAAGCCGCAGGTGGACCAATGGTACAGAATAGAGGACACAGAGACTAATCCACAAAGCTACAACTATCTTATATTTGATAAAGGAGCTAAAAGCAAGCAATGGAGGAAGGATAGCATCTTTAACAAATGGTGTTGGGAAAACTGGAAATCCATATGCAACAAAATGAAACTGAATCCCCTCCTCTCGCCATGCACAAAAGTGAACTCAAAGTGGATCAAGGAGCTAGATATCAAATCAGAGACTCTGCATCTGATAGAAGAAAAAGTTGGCTATGATCTACATACTGTGGGGTTGGGCTCCAAATTCCTTAATAAGACACCCATAGCACAAGAGTTAATAACAAGAATCAACAAATGGGACTTACTTAAACTGAAAAGTTTTTTCTCAGCAAGAGAAACAATAAGAGAGGTAAATAGGGAGCCTACATCATGGGAACAAATTTTTACTCCTCACACTTCAGATAGAGTCCTAATATCCAGAGTATACAAATAACTCAAAAAATTAGACAATAACAAATACCAAATGTCTTCTTTGATATAATGAGAGCAACTAAGAACAGAGCAGGGAGGAAGAGCAGGAAGAAAAGATTAACATTAAACAGATACATGAGGTGGGAGGGAAAGGGAGAGAGAAGGGAAATTGCATGGTAATGGAGGGAGACCCTCATTGTTATACAAAATTACATATAAGAGGTTGTGAGGGGAATGGGAAAATAAAGAAGGAGAGAAATGAATTACAGTAGGTGGGGTAGAGAGAGAAGATGGGAGGTGAGGGGAGGGGGGATAGTAGAGGATAGGAAAGGTAGCAGAATACAACAGTTACTAATAGGGCATTATGTAAAAATGTGGATGTGTAACCAATGTGATTCTGCAATCTGTATTTGGGGTAAAATTGGGAGTTCATAACCCATTTGATTCTAATGTATGAAATATGATATGTCAAGAGCTTTCTAATGTTTAAAAAAAAATAAAATCAAATCAAATAAAAATAAAGTGCCTAAGCCCTGATCTCATCCGGACCCATTTTTATTTATTTATTTTTAAAATTTTGATTGAAGTTGTTTTTTTTTTTTTTTTAATCCTTCTAAAGGGCCTCAGTATGTTGGTGAGGCTGGATTTGAACTTGTGATTCTCATTCTATAGCCACTGGGATTACAGATGCGCTATCATGCCTGGCTCCTGGATGTTTCTTGAAACTTTGATGTAAATCATTGTCTGCCTTCTTTCTGTAGAGTTTCCAAGTCTTAGTTGATACAGAGGCAAGAATTACTTTTTAATGTGTTTATATATACTAATGCCATTCAAGCTCTAAGATTCTAGAATGATTCTGAGCATCACAATGACATTAATTCACACCTTATACTCCAAATTTTTATATTTTCAGTTGGACTAAACTGAAGTCCACTTGGAAAAAGTTTATTTTAGATAATTTGTGTTGAAAACAGGGTGGGAGAACTGCTTTAGTGTTTAAGGGAAAAAACCTTTTCATTTTTTTTAAGATCTTATGATAAAATGAAGTGCAAGTAATCACTAAGAGTATTACAGATTTTTTTTTAACAAATGATTTTATATTTCCCTCTGTGCACCAGACACCAGATAATCAACTTCGCAGAGTCACAGAGACTATGGAACATGGCCTGGTGCTCATGTGAGTGTTATCTAGATCACCAAGTGAAACTACAAAAGCAAACACCTGAGAGGGCTGAGTTGTACCACCCACACATGCACACTCATACCCACGTGCACACGCATGTACAGGATCAAGTCACCCTTTTCACTGCATACCCTCCATAGTGCAGTTCTTTCATCCTCACTGTGTAATGCAACTATTGATTTCTTTGACTTTTCTCACAACATTGCTGCCCACTATTTTTTCTCAAAAATTATTACTTCATGACTTCTCAATTTATTCTTTTGTGTCTTCTAAAGTTTGGTTACACGTTGTGTATGTGAGTTGAGGCCTGTGCACTCCAGCATTCTGTGCAGATTGGCTAAATGTCTATTTTTTTCTCCTTTGCTCCCTTCTTTCCTTTAGATTTCACTCAGGATTGCTCCACCACTGAGATTCCCCCTAGCCTTTTTATTATTATTTTTTGAGATGGGGTGACGCTGGCCTCAAACTTGTGGTCACCCTGCCTCAGCCTGCTAGCATCTGGGACCATAGAGATGTGCCCTTTTGTGTCCTGAAACTGGCTTCTTCCATTTCCTTGGTGCCTTATTGTCCTGTGATGACTCTGGGACCACCATTCTGTCGTATTTCTTCTAAGTCTCATGTGTTGTGTTGTATGTAGGCACATTTAAGGGCATTATAAAAGTTGTAATGTGTATGTATTCTTTGGAGAGGCACCTTCTCAAAATATACTTTGCCCTGTACTTAATTGAGTGGCTTTCTATTTCTTCTCTTTCCCTGTTGCCAGGGACCCAAACCTGCCTTGTGCCTGTTAGACAGGCACTCTAGCACTGAGCCCTCCCCTAGCTCAGGTAGTAAGTTTGCTGCTGCTGTGTGCATGGACACCACTGATGACCACGTCGGTAGATGCAGCTCTGCAGGTTTTCCTCCACGTTTTCACCTGGTCCCTTTCTTCTTAAACATATTTAACAGCAGGGAATTTTATTTATTTATCTTTTTAATTTTATCAATTGAATGCTTAACAACCATCAATAGAGTTTAACCTCCTTTGACATTTCTTTTTTTTTTTTAAGAGAGAATTTTAATATTTATTTTTTAGTTTGCGGCAGACACAACATCTTTGTATGTGGTGCTGAGGAACGAACCCGGGCCACACACATGCCAGGTGAGCACGCTACCCCTTGAGCCACATCCCCAGCCCAAGACAGCAGGGAATTTTAACCACTGACATCCAATTTAGCTTTTTTCACCATGATTAATACTTAGGTGGAATATGCTAGAAAACCCAGGCTGGACTTCTCTCTGTGTTCAGGGTACCTCAGTAGCCCTGGGAACCTCCTGTGATGATTTTTTTTCATACACAGCATGTAATCAAAACTAGGTAAGGAGGGCCCCAGTCGAATGTCCTAATGTATTGATTGGTGCCCCCTTCTGCACCTAAGAATCTTTTCTTAAAAAAATATTTTTATTAGTTGTTGATGAATTTTTTTTTACTTATTTGTATGTGGAGCTGAGAATTGAACCTATGGCGTCACACATGCTAGGCAAGCGTTCTAT